AACTTTAAAAAATGTCAGCAGATAACATGTTAAACTATCAAGTCATAATAAAAATGGCATATAATTATAGTGCTGGGAAGACTACTTAAAATCCTAGGCCATTACTGAATACGAATAATGTTTGTGACAATAGCAATAATTGCATATTTCAGATAACATTGCAGAACTAGTTTTTGATTGCGTTTGATCCAGCTTAAATTATAAATTGATGCTTCGAAAACAACTTTAATTAATAAAGTGAATAATAAGCAGAATAAATATAATTCCAAACAACTTATTGCTATTTCGTGAATATTGATGTTCTCATGCAGTAATTACCAAAAATTGTCTAATTGAATTTTTTTTAATGCAATTACCAAATTACACATCTGTTACTATGAAACAGCAGAGGTTTCAGAGAAATATATATATATATATATATATATATATATATATATATATATATATATATATATATATAAAAATTTTCTCCTGAAAATGCTTTAAAATAAATGTTACATAGCAAATCTTTCTTATGGTGACATCAGACTTTTTCCCAACATTTAAATGAAATTAAAATTCTATTAAATCCAAGTTTTAGAAAACTTAAAAAGTAAATTAAATTTCATAAAAAAAGTAAAAAAGAAACAGCAACATAAAATGTTTACCTGCATGTATAAAAAGTAGAACAGTAGGAGTATTAATCCTCGGCTTAAAGGAATCGTTCACCCAAATCTGAAAATTGTCATCATTTACTCGCTCTTTACTTGAGACAAACCTGTTTGACTTTTTGTTCTTCTGTTGAACACAAAAGAAGATATTTTGAAGAAAGCTGAAAACCTGTAAATGTTGACTTTCACAGTATTTGTTTTTCCAATGGAAGTCAATGTTAACCAGTTTGTTAACATTCTTCCAGTTATTTTTTGTGTTGAACAGAAAAAAAGGAACTGATAAAGGTTTGGAACCACTTGAGGGTAAATAGTGAAATGTCAGTTTTAGGTACTCTTTAAAATCATGATGATCTCAGTCTCATCTTTACACACTTTCCAGCATATATATATATATATATACACACATACACGCAAACTCCATGCAGAAATGCCAATTGACCCAATCTGGACTCGAACCAGCAACCTTCTTGTCGCTAAAACCAAAAAATAAATCCAGGGTTCCACAAAATTCATTCATGTTCTGTCACAAATCATCAATTACATGTAATTGGATTAAACATGAAACAATTAAACAATTAAGTGGTCTCAAAATCATCTCAAGAATTGTGTTGTTTCAGCTCATTTTAAATAACTAACTTGAACAAGCAGACTGTTATTCACAGACAATGTTCTATTGGCTTCATCAAACATGGACCTTTAGGAAATCACTAGGGCAGTTTGCTGCTAAGTGTGACGTCCAAGGCCATGGTGCTCCACCGGAAAAAGGTGGTTTGCCATCTCCCGGTTGAAGGAAAGTCCTGATACCAGGTGGAGGAGTTCAGGTATCTTGGGGTTTTGTGAGGGAAGGATGGAATGTGAGATTGACAGGCGGATCAGTCCAGCGGCAGCAGTTATGGGGTCGATGTGCCTGACCTTTATAGAAAAGTAGGAGCTGAGCAGAAAGGCTCTTGATTTACTGGTCAATCCACTGTGCGTTCCAACTCTCACCTATCATCATGACCGAAAGAACAAGATCTCAGATACAAGCGGCTGAAATGAGTTTGCTTCGCAGGGCGCACCCTTATAGACAGGGTGAGGAGCTCTGTCACCCAGGAGGCGCTCAGAGTAAAGCTGCTGCTCCTCCACATTGAGAGAAGTCAGCTAAGGTGGCTCGAGCATCTGTTTTGGATGCCTACCTAGGGAGGTGTTTCAGGCATGTCCCACAGGCAGGAGGCCTTGAGGAAGACCCAGGACACGCAGGAGGGACTATGTCTCTCGGCTGGCCTGGGAATGAATCGGGATTCCCCCAGAGGAGCTGGAAGTGTCTGGAGAAAGAAGTCTGGGGTTCTCTTCTGAGACTGCCGCCCCTGTGACACGGCCCCGGAAAAGAGGATGGAAATGAATGAATGAACAAGCAGCAGAAATATTTTTTGAGTACTGTATACTGTAATGAATACTGTACATTCTGAAAACCACTAATCGGGAAAATCAGCAGAAAAGTTGAATCATTTAAATCTTTACGGTATCAATGCTGTTCACCACAAGGTGGAGCTTGATAAACAGAATGCGCATACAGCTCAGTATTGTGTACTGCAGTTCACTTATCAGTGTCCCATCACAGTCACGTCATACCTTGTGTTTCAGCATGAATAATTTATATTTTTCTAGGGTAATCAGCATCAGCCCGCTATTGTCCTGCACATTCAGATTTGCCTGATCAGGTCGAACTGGTCTGGAGAGTTTTAGGAAACGACTCTGAATACTCTCCTCTTTGAATATATTTAAACACATTAAACTGCTAAATAGTGTATTTAAATGAATGCAGTTTGATTTTGCTAATACTTAGTTATTTCGAGTGATTCATTTGGGCTCAGTCTTGCTCAATAGCTTCATATATAAATGTTTTTATGCTGTTGTTTTTATGAGTTTATCAGTTGGTTAAAAAACTTTATTGCATGCTGCTGATTATAGATATGGCTGGATTATCTTGCCTACAATTTATGTCCAGCTAATATATAAGTGTTATGGACTTTGTCTATGATAATGACATCATCTGAACTTTTAACTTCAAGGAATGTCGGTCAGTCTGTCAATGATTTTAGTGACGAATGATAATCTGTAGTTTAGATGACGTTCACTGAAGTCCAGTCCACTGTTCTTTGTTTTTTCATTCTTAGTTGTTATTGTTTTTTATGAACGTATAACGAATTAGAACTGAACAAATAATAATAATAATTGTCATTATTATTAATACAAATACATACGTATACAAATACGTCTATTCCACACATGTATACATATACACTCGCTGGCTACTTGATTGGGTACATGTTACTAGTACTGGATTGCACTCCCTTATGCCTTCAGAACTGCCTTAATCCTTCGTGGCATAGATTCAACAAGGTACTGGAAATATTCCTCAGAGATCTTGGTCCATGTTGGCATGTTAGCATCACACAGTTGCTGCAGATTTGTCAGCTTTACATCTATGATGCTAATGTCCCATTCCACCACATCCCAAAGGTGCTCTATTGGATTGAGTTCTGGTGACTGTGGAGGCCATCTGAGTACAGTGAACCCACTGTCATGTTCAAAAAATCAGTCTGAGATGATTCGCGCTTTATGACATGGTGCGTTGTCCTGTTAGAAGTAGCCATCAGATGACTGGTCATAAAGGGATGAACATGATCAGCAACAATACTCAGGTAGGCTGTGGCATTGCCATGGTATGCTCAATTGATACTAATGGACTCAATGTGTGCCAATAAAATATCCCCCACACCTTTACACCACCACCAGCTTGAACCGTTGATAGAAGGCAGGACGGATCCATGCTTTCATGTTGTTGACAGCAAATTCTGACCCTACCATCTGAATGTCGCAGCAGAAATTGAGACTCATCAGACCTGGCAATGTTTTTATTCTTATGTTTTCAAAATTTTGTTGTCCAATTTTTGTGAGTCTGTGTGAATTGTAGCCTCAGTTTCCTGTTCTTGACTTACAGGAGTGGCACCTGGTGTGGTCTGCTGCTGCTGTAGCCCATCCGTCCTATGGTTAGACGTGTTGTGTGTTCAGAGATGCTCTTCTGTATAACTCAGTTGTAGCGAGTGGTTATTTGTGAAAAAGCTGTGACCGCGATAAAAGGTTAAAAAAAAATCCAGTCCACAATTACATTTTATATTGAAAATACTTAATTTTGTGTGTTTTTTTTCACCAAATTAGTAATTTCATTTGTGAATTTGGCAATTAAAGAGTTACAATTCTGTCAATTTTCTAAACAATTTAGTAGTTTAGATCAGGACTGAGGTTGATTAACAGATTTATGCAAAAGAATTTTAAAAAATATAGCAGTTTAAAATAGTAGTTTAATTTCATTCATTCATTTTCTTGTCGGCTTAGTCCCTTTATTAATCCGGGGTCGCCAAAGCAGAATGAACCGCCAACTTATCCAGCGCATTTTTTACGCAGAGGATGCCCTTCCAGCCGCAACCCATCTCTGGGAAGCAGTTTAATTTAGAGGATGTTTTCATCCTGAACATAACAAAAGGGTAGTGAACAGTGCACAAGGGTTAAGAGAATCAGAGCACTCAAAACATTACTTAGAATTACTCATTCTCTTTATGTATATATAAAATGTACCAATTTTAAATAGCTTTTCAAAATCTATAAAGACTAAATATATTTCTAAATGGATAAAACAAATTGCACAAAATAATGTGTCTATAATATATCTAACTATAATCTATATTTCTGTTATAATTGCATTTATAAATACGTGATCTAAGAATTTCCAAATTTAAAAACGTAAAAAGTAAACTAATTATAGATAAAATAATGATTTTTAGCATGAATAGTATAAAACATAAATGTATTAGATACATTTTGCCACCTTAAAAATTTGTTTCAGAGATGAAATAATATAAGATAACAGTAAATGAAGATTTTGAAGATTTTTATTAATACAAAAAAATGTACAGATATAAAATAATAATACTTTAAAGTTGTTTTTAAGAGCAAATACAATTTAGGTGATAAATTAACCTAATTTATGCACTGTGACCTTGTTAATGCCTGCTAATTCCTCATACTCATTGTATACATCTTAAAAGTATTAATTAAGAATGATTTCATATTAATAATTACGACAAGTACATTTGTTTTGCCAATTTCAGTGCGCAAATCACAGTGAATCAGGCTAAAGTAGGCTAGTACTCTTTTACATTCACAATCTTTATGGATGAGTAATAGAAGCTGATGATTAAATTAAAATTACTATGACACGGAGTACAAATAATTACACAGGGCGTTACAAAAAGCTATTGAGACATTCCACGGTAATTTCAAGGCAAAAAGAAGAAGTGTCCTCCTGCGCGTGCACACTCTGCGTGAGCGCGCATCACTTCCTGTGCATGCAGCGCTTTCAACTCCGACAGGACAAGCGAGAGTCGACGAACTCGTACGAAAACACAGGAGTAACGGAATATCTGACCGAATACTCCACCAAACTGTCCCGGGCTGGTCAGGTAAGTTCTTAAATCTTATTTCAAGATCTTTTTTTCTTCAGTTGGCCTGTGTGTGAGTGTATTTTCTCCATCTTTGGGAGGTTTGTGAGTATGTAAGGAGCCCCAGTTGTGCTAGCCTGCTGTAGCTAATCGCGCTGGCTCTGGCGGTGGGCGGCTCAGCATCGTTTCCTCTCAAGTTGACGACTAAAACAAAACCCAGTGTTTTCGGGGAAACTCATTTCTGGGGGTTTTCACATGCTCTCTAATGACACATCCAGCTATAGACTTTGAGGTTAAAGTGTCATTAAATCCAGCTGCGACTGTTAAAGTGAATTATCACGACGCGCCACTGTTACACAATCTATATTTATCTCTCCATATTAGATCTCTACTTGTCTGAAAAACGCAGATTATGATTTTTTAAATAATTATATATTTTTATTTTATAATTTAAAAAAATAATTCTAAACTATCCGTCTCACTGAGCCTATTTTTTGTTAGTGCATAATTTATGTTGTATATGCAAAGTATTGTTGCGGTGTTAATAGTTAAGAAAAATGGTAAAACTTACCTTAATATGAGATCCTTTCATGTTTAAGTTAGTTTTTTTGGACTGTAAACTTGTTTACTTAGTTTAGGGTTTCTTCTGATTTAATTGATTCTAAGCTATAGCTATTTGTTCATTTAAACTTTTTTATTATTACAGCCTTAATTTTGTGTGGTTATCTATCTATCTATCTATCTATCTATCTATCTATCTATCTATCGATCTATCGATCTATCGATCTATCGATCTATCTATCTATCTATCTATCTATCTGGGCTTTACAATATACCGTTTACCATCCATATCACAATGTGCGCATCAACAAGTCACATCGAAAACATGTGCAATGTTAAGCATGTATTATAGTTGAGTAGGAGCTACAGAATTGTATTTTAATCACTGTATTTGTACAGAATTTATATGATTTATGCAAAAAATAATTTATGCAAAAATCTTACTTAAAATCGTTTCTAGTCTAGATATAACTTATACGATTCAAAGGGAAAGTCAGATTATTTCACTTAAACTACTGGCAGATAATGGATAAGCCCAACTTAATTTGAGATCATTTAATGTTTAAGTTAGTTTTTTGGATAGTAAACTTTTTGTTTACTCAGTTAAGGGTATCTTCTGGTTTAATTAATTCTGTTTAATACTGGCTAAGACTTTAGCTATATGTTCATTTAAACTTTTAATGTAACGTTAGCCTTAAATTTGTGTTCCATCCATCCATACATGCATCCATCGTTTTATCATCAATATTGCAATGTGCACATCCGCAATTCACATCGCAGAGATATGCAATATTGAGCATGAATTATACTTGACCAGGAGCTACAAAATTGTATTTAATCACTGTATTAGTACAGAATTTATTTGACTAATAAAAAAAAAATAAAAAATCATACTTAGAATTTTTGTCGTTGTTTAGGGTCTCTTCTGATTTAATTGATTATGATTAATAATTGCTATGAATTTAGCTATATGTTCATTTAAACTTTTGCTAATGTAATGTTATTACATTACATCCATCCATCCATCCATCCATCCATCCATCCATCCATCCATCCAGGCTGCACAATATATCGTTTCAGCATCGATATCCCTATGTGCGCACCCGCAATAGTCACATAGCAAAGATGTGCAATGTTGAGTCTAAATTACAGTTGAGTAGGAGCTACAGAATTGTATTTAATCACAGTATTTGAACAGAATTCACATGATTTATGCAAAAAAAAATTTACTTAGAAATTTTGTAGTTTCTATTCCAGATATCTATATTTCAGATTAAGCAGATTATTTTGCATACCCCACCGGCAGATAATTTAGCTTGTTTTAAGGAAAATCTCTTAATTGTGACTTATTTCTTCTGATGGTGAAAACGAAACTTGCTCTAAGAATTTTTTGATATTTGAACTGAAAACAAAACAAAAAGTTAAAAAAGCATGTTGTTTCTATTGTGGTTATTCAATTTCTGTACCTGCAAACTGTTAGATTCCCCAGAAAACTATCAAATAGAGCTATTTAAATTATCTTGTGAGACGATATTTATATCACAATACTTATCGCAGAACAATTAAATATCGCAATATCCGATTTTTCCAATATCGTGCAGCTCTTAGATCTATATCTCCTAATAAGGAACAGTTACAGTATATTCGTGTTAACTGGCTAAATGAGTAAATACTGTAACCATTGCATTGGTCTTTGATAGGTATTTCTTTATTTAACCTTAATTATTTGGCTGGTGTGCATAATAGTTCAATTTACTCATAAATACTTTAGTGTTGTGTCATTTACTGGTAGGCCATATATTGACGAGCAGTTTATATTGATGAGCATATTGATGAAGTTGTAAGTAAAATACATAAATAAATTGATTGTCGTATTAGTGCTTTGTATATTATAAGCCAGTTTAACCCAATGCTAGTTAGTAAAACCTGGGGTAGTTTCTTTCCTGCAGGCTAGTCTTGTTTAGAGTTTCTAGAGATTGTGCAACAATTTGACAGAACAATTTCTGCAAGTCAGGTCAGCAGATAAACATCAACACGCACTAAGTTTCACAGTTCATTATTTGCTGTTAGATGAGTGTTGCTTAGTTAAATGAGTTTTTCAGATTTCAAAGACTAAAGTTTACACCCTGTAGTTCTGTATATACCCTGTTACCCCATGTCTCTATTTTTACAGTGTGTCATGCAAAGTCAATGTATTTTGTAATGTAGAAAGCTTTGCATACATGGTTTACTGATAATTAAAAAAAGGTTTGCTTTTGGCAGAGCTGATTAGGTAAATATCACAGTGAATAGTTTTAATTTGGCTGTTTAAACACTTGTTGGAAGGCATCATGAAGAATAACACATCACTAAAGCATTTGAACTTTCTTTGAGGAGGAAGGGATTTATGCTCCAATAAGAAGGCCCTTCATGCTTTTTTGTAGATGATTTATGAACTGCTTAAACCTGTGTTTTAATCAAAGTTTAATAATATTTATTTTTAGGGTGTTAGTTTAGATATGGCAGATTTGGCTGGGTTAATTCAAACTCTGGTGTGATTGTGTAAGTGCGTTTCATTGTAAAAAGTGGTGAATACTTTAATCTGAGCCTTGGTGCACAAAACCAGTTGACCAAGACCACTGAAAAGGTTGGTTTGTCCACTTCCAAACTTTGCAATGTAGTTTGACTGCATTTTGAACACTCAACACAGACGAAACGCATCTAAACAAACCCAAAACAGGACATGGTGTCGCAAGTTCTTTTCTTTTTAGTTGTGATATTGTTTATCACAGTTCAGCACACATGTCAGAAATATGTTATTTGTGTGTGACAGGAGTTCCTGCTGCTGTTCTGAGTGAATTCTGATTGTAATATATGTATGTGGACATACCTGTGTTTTGTCCCGCACACAGGATTGCTTTGGATGTTCTCTGAGCTTGTTTAACCTTGGCAGATTTAGTTAAATTAAAACAAACTCTGGTTACTTGCTTAATACAGTTGATAAATGTGAAAGCTGCCATCTAAATATTGATCTTCACCAAAAACGGCTATCCAAAACTCCTGAAAAGTTGGGTTATGCCAGCAGACGTGTGAATAGTTGCGATTCATAAATGTTCAAAAAGATGATTTATTTTTAAAATGATTAAATGACAGGAAAACAACTGCAGTGTGCGTAATGAAAATCAAAGTCAAGCATGATCCATGGACCCCTTAAAGGGCTGAGATTTTTCGTCCAAAAAATCCAGTGAGCGGCAGTTCTGTGGGTGCAAATGCCTTGTTGATGCCAGAGGTCAGAGGAGAATGACCAGACTAACTCAAATAACCACTTGTTGCAACCGAGGTATGCAGAATAGTATCTTTTTTTCTTTTTTTCTAAGTTTTCACCTTTATTTGGATGGGAAAGTAGAGCCAATTGACAGGAAAGCATGGGGAGCAGAGAGAGGGGAAGAAACGGCACAGGACCGCGAGGCAGAATCTAACTCGGGTCGCCGTGAGCACTGGAGTGCATGTGCCGACGCTCTAACCACTATACCACTGGTGCTGACAAAAAAGCATCTCTGAACACACAACATGTTGAAACTAGAGGCGGATGGGTTACAGCAGCAAAAGACCACATCGGGTGCCACTCCTGTCAGCTAGGAACGGGAAGCTGAGGCTGCAATTCGCACAGGCTTACCAAAATTAGACAAGATCTCAATCCAATAAAGCACCTTTGGGATGTGGTGGAACGGGAGATTGGCATCATGGATGTACAGCCGACAAATCTGGAGCACTACTAGTAAGGTTTACCTAATAAATTGGCCGGTGATTGTATATTGTGATATCAATTTTGGCCATATCGTCTGGTCCAGCCCTACCTTTAATCATAATAAAATTGTTAGAGGCTTTAGATTGCACACCTCAACTGAAAAAGTGCATCTCTGTCCACTTGCCAATAAGCTTTAGTTGAACATTGGTGAATGTTGTCGATCGGTCCTGTTTTGCTTACTGCACAGCTATTCCTGATCATAAATTGCTGTGCTTTGTTTTCCTGTGTGAGAGGTTTCTTTAATGGGTTGATGTTTTTATTCCCCCAGGATTTTATCGCATGGTTACAGGTCCAAGCAGCAGGTTGCTCTGCTTGCTCTCAGGGCTTTGCTCTCCCTGTAGCTTTGTCGCAGGCACAAAGTAGGAACGCTGAAATGCAAAATGGGTCAGGGAAATATGTGTGGTTTTACACCAGCAGTCTTATTTTAAACCATCAAGGTCAGCAAAATGATATCTGGTGAGAGTTAATTGTTTATTAGTTATACTTGAAACAGTGACATTGTAAAGGAGTGAAAGGCACAATGTTTGCTAGACTTTTTGTAGCATTCTAACTTTGGAAAGAAATACAATGTAATTTGCAGGTCTTGCACAACAAGTACGGTAAATTCACCAGCTAGAAGCATTGTAGGACTAGTTAGCGCAGGCAGAGTTATTTTATCATTATTTTTTCTAAT